ATATAAACAACAATTTTTCACAAATGCCATTGTAAGGATACTTGAAATAAATAAAATCAAAATTTTCATTTTATTTTAAAATTGCGGAAAAACTTATCCATACATTGCAAATACATATGAAGACTATGTTGTTATCTATTCCTCAGCAATCTATCATAACTCTTAAGTAGCAGCTCAAAATTCTGATCTTCGAATCATGCGATCGAAATCCATCTTCACGATCAGATTCAGCATACTCTTCTTCTAGGTTTCCTCTCCTTTTTCCGATTCTACAAAACATCAAAATGCGACCTAGTCACATCATGTAATAAGAATATCCAAATAGGAACTTAATAGAGTTAGATAGTGGACTTTACCTGAAGCATAGTCAAATTGTTTGACTTTTACCATCCTAGTGAACTTTCAGGTAAATAAGGCAGCTTCGCAACCAATGCCCCTTCTTTTGGCAATAAAAATATATGGACTCTTTAGTAATGGTACATGGGACTATCTCACACTTAGCCTTTCTCTTTACCATTTGGTCAACTGGGTTGACTATGGCTGATCCCTTTCCATTGGGAAGAGAAGACTTTTCTGGACTTCCAATGTTTGCATTGTCAATGTCCATGAAAGTTTGGGAAGTAGATCTTCCATTCAAACTTACTTTTCCAGTGCTCCAAATTATTGTTGATTCAGCAGCAACAAGCAAATAAGTAAGATCGATAAGGGTCATGTCGTGGTCTGTCACATAGTAGTCCTTTAAAGAACCCGCTATATGACTTAGGAAGTGATTGAAGAACCCAGTCAACAGCAAACTTCCTTGAGACTTCGACACCTAACTCTCCCATCTTGTCAATATGTGACTTCATCTCCAAGTGTGAGCACATATAGACATTGCTTGCCAATAGGGATTGAGTGACCTTGCACTTTTCAAGAACTTGTGGGTTAGGAAGAATAATTGGAGGAAGTGGAGGAAGTGAAGTATGATTTCCAGTCCCATTAATGCACAACAAAGGGATTAATCTTTCACCTTGATTGCCATTTAGGATATCATCTTCATTAGGAAAGCTTTATCCAAAAGGATAAGGAAGACCATAGTGTCATAACAAGACATCTATGAGGGAGAAATTCAAAGTTTAGTTGATTTAAGCCCTTAATATAACACCCAATATGAAATATAAGGATTAACCCAACAAAAATATTTAATAACTTGGAAGATGGATGTCGTAATCCAAGCTACAAAATATTTGAAGGTAGGTAAATGACGATTTACCATTTCCACCATGAAAAAGAAAAATTCAAACATTTCAGGTTTTAAATGAATGAAACCTAGATCTTTTGTGATTCATTGAACTATTCAATGGCATGTTTAAATCTTAATTGTGCCCTTCAAGTTTGTGACTGGAATGTCGAGGATCACAAAGAAGGAGTGAATTGATGGGTTTTACACAAACAATCCTATGTGTGCATGCAACCCTAATTTCGGATCTATGTTTGCTATTAGATATACAACATTATGAACACATTAAGAACCCTAGCATGCTCCTAGTAATTTCGAAATTTACAAAGGAGAAAGGTTTACATACCTCTTGTTGTTATATTGTAATAACAACTCAAATCTTCAATCTTCTTGTCTTGAAAGCAAGTACCACAAGTGTAGTACCTCTAATGGCTCACAAACACCAACAGAAAATGGAGAGACAAGAGAGAGAGAGGGGAGAGGTAGAAAATCGGCTCTAGGAACTTCTAGGATCAAGTGGTCGAATTTCCTAGGCCAGGGGGTCTTTATATAGCTGTAGGGATTAGGGTTTCAGTCCTTATCCTTATCTGGTTGCTTAGCCACCAAGCAGCACAAGGATAATTCTAGAAGCCCTATCCTTCGACGAATTCTAGGGCCTTATCCCCTTGAATTCGTCCACCTTATCCATAGGGCATCTTTTTCCCTACTTTCCAACTATCACATAATTGCATTTCAGTCCCCCTAGTTTAGTTAATTTCTTTTGATCACAAAATTAATTCTTAATTAATTCTTGAACAATATTAACTAAACAAATATGATTTATCTTTTAATATATTATTCTTATAATATATTAATAAACCATAATAACCTCTTTCTCTATTATTTCTCCAATCAAGTTGCTTTGGTGAAGGCAACCCAAAAGGACCATGCACAACCGGGTCAAGTACTTACCAAATATGGTTACGGGCTTAGACACTAATCCAACAGTCTCCCACTTGGATAAGTCTAGTAACCATAAATGCAAGTAGAATCCGATTAGCAATCGTAGCTCTCTAAGACGCTGTCTAACTCTAATCCTATCAGTAACTTGTCCTTTGGATAAGGGATCGTATGACCCTCTGTTCTAGATATCGTGCGGACAATCACATGGAACATAGTCATACTTATTGTCCAGCAATTTGTTTCTCGATCTCAGATTCGTTTGACATAGAACTTAATTGAACACATCAATTCAGTCCTGACCGGGCCCGACACATAAGTCAAACCAAATCATCGAGGGGCCCTGATATCGCTTTTACCCTCTTAGGATAAAAGGAACAGATAAACTTCGACTTATACGCATTTAATATTCACTAATTAAATCATACACAACAATGCGTTTTATAACATCAAATTACTGATGAGTTTTCGCATTATTAATGCACAACCAATCAGCAAACAATAAACCATATATCTAGGTTTTAAGACCATATGATATTATCGTCTTGCGATCACTCGTGATAAATTCCATGAAGTGATTCCAGCAAGCGTGGGTTTATTCCATTGCTCAAAACTTGTTCATAAGCACCCATGAACATTGTAGCAAACCTTTGCTATGTCTAATACACTTTAGACAATCTACACACCAATTCATGACAGTCTTCTTTCATACCTACTTCCAACATATGAACGACTGTGGACCATTCGAATAATTCGATTTAAATATCTCAATTATTCAGGAAGTCAAAACATGCAAGATGAAACAATAGGTAAATAATTAACATAAGACAGTAACTTTACTAATAAATAATAGTCATTTATTTAATCATCAAATGTCAATTACATTTATCTATTACATGTTTCCAAGCTATCTAATCTAAACTAATATCGTCCTTCAGCCCAATGCTCCTAGCGTGCTGCAAGTGCTTAACCCTACTCAGTCCCTTCGTAAGCGGATATGCTGGATTATCTTCCGGCGATACCCTCTTCACAACGAGGAGTCCTTCTTCTATACGATGTCAAATAAAGTGATATTTTTTGTCGATATGCCGAGATCTACCGTGATCCCTCGGTTCCTTGGTCAAGGCAACCGCTCCTTCATTATCACAGAAAATTTCCATGGGCTCCTGTATGCCTGGCACAACTCCAAGGTCTCCAATGAAATTCTTCAGCCATATTGCCTCTTTTGATGCTTCGCTCGCTGCAATGTACTCTGATTCGCACGTTGAATCAGCTACGGTCTCTTGCTTGGAACTTTTCCAAGTCACTGCTCCTCCATTAAGGGTAAAGACCCAGCCCGACTGCGAACGGTAGTTGTCCCTGTCGGTCTGAAAACTGGTGTCACTGTACCCTCGCACCTTTAAGTCATCACTCCCACCGAGGACTAGAAACCATTCCTTGGTCCTCCGAAGGTACTTAAGAATATTATTGACTGCGGTCCAATGTGCTTTGCCAGGGTTCCCTTGATATCTGTTGACCATGCTCAAAGCGAAGGCCATATCAGGGTGAGTACAAGTCATAGCATACATGATCGAGCCGACTGCGGAAGCGTAAGGTACTCGGCTCATCTCTGCTATCTCGGCTTCGGTACTCGGACTTTGAGTCTTACTCAACTTGGCATTACTTTGGATTGGTAACTCCCCTTTCTTGGAATTCTCCATACAAAACGTTTTAGTACCTTGTCCAAGTAAGTATTTTGACTAAGTCCTATTAGTCTCTTACTTTGTTTCTCACTATCCTTATTCCCAAAATATAGGCAGCTTCTCCGAGATCCTTCATAGCGAAGCACTTCCCGAGCCAGGACTTAACTTCATGTAGTGTCGGGATGTCATTTCCTATGAGTAGTATGTCATCAACATACAATACGAGAAAGCTAACTATACTCCCACTGGCTTTGACATATACACATGATTCATCCTCGCTTCGCAGAAATCCAAACTCTTTGACTTTCTCGTCGAAACAAAGATTCCATCTGCGAGACGCTTGCTTAATTCCATAAATGGACTTCTCAAGCTTGCACACTCTATTGGGATGCTTTGCATTGACAAAACCCTCTGGCTAAACCATGTAAACATCCTCAGCCAACTTCCATTAAGGAAAGCGGTTTTGACATCCATTTGCCATATTTCATAATCATGAAACGCAGCAGTAATGCCAACATCACCCTAATAGACTTTATCTTGGCAACCGGTGAGAAAGTTTCATCATAGTCAACTCCGGGAGTTTGAGTGAAACCTTTCGCGACCAATCGCGCCTTATATGTGTACACATTCCCATCCATGTCGGTCTTCTTCTTGAAGATTTATTTGCACCCGACCGTCTTACGACCTGGTACATGATCAACCAAATTCCAAACTTGGTTGTCATACATGGACTGAATCTCGCTGTCCATCGCCTCTTTCCACTTTGCAGACTCCGGGCCTGCCATGGCTTCCTTATAGTTGTTAGGTTCATCCAAATTCACTAGTGTACTATCACTAATGAACGTATCCCCTTCGGTAGTAATATGAAAACCATAAAACTGGGGTGGAACACTAACTCTTTCGGAACGTATAAGAGGTAAGGACTCGTCAATCGGTTCAACCGGAGTTTCCTCCTCGGGTTAAACGCCAGCGTTAGAGGTTCCTTCATCGCTCGATCTTGAATCTCTTCAAGATCGATTTGCCTCCCACTGTCCCCTTGGCTTATGAGTTCTCTTTCTCGGAAAACCCCTCTCCTCGCAACGAAGACAATATTGTCACTCGGTCTATAGAAGAGATATCCAAAGGTCTTCTGCGGGTAGCCGATGAAAATACACCGCTCACTACGAGGCTCGAGCTTGTCGTGAGTTTCTCGTCTTACGAAAGCCTCGCAACCCCAAACCTTGATATGTGCAAATGAGGGAGCCTTCCCTGTCCACATCTCGTGAGGTGTTTTGGCAACCTTTTTCGTAGGGACTAAGTTAAGGATATGGGCGGTAGTCTCTAAGGCATACCCCCAGAATGAGATAGGTAGTGAAGCACGACTCATCATGGAACGAACCATGTCTAGTAAGGTTCCATTACGCCTCTCAACTACACCATTCAACTGCGGTGTCCTAGGTGGCGTTAATTGCGAAACTATTCTGCATTCCTTGAGGTACTCGTGGAATTCAAGACTTAGGTACTCACCTCCTCGATCGGATCGAAGCATCTTGATTTTCCTGCCCAATTGATTCTCCACTTCTTGCTTAAACTCTTTGAACTTTTCGAAGGTTTCCGACTTGTGCTTGATTAAGTAGATATACCCATATCTACTATAATCGTCGGTGAAAGTCACATAGAAGTGGTTCACATCCCTTGTGGTGGATCTAAATGGCCCACACATATCGGTGTGTATGAGATCCAATAGACCATCACCCCTCTCACAAGAGCCAGTGAAGGGTGATTTGGTCATCTTTCCAAGTAAACAAGATTCGCACATGTCATCGTCCCTAAGATCGAATGACTCCAACACTCCATCCTTTTGGAGTTGGGCTATGCGTTTCTTGTTGACATGTCCAAGACGACAATGCCACAAGCATGCTTTATCCATACTATTGGAAGAATCGACACACAACACATCATTTCCTAAGTTATCTACAACCATCACAGTCTCATATATTCCATTACAAGGCAATGCTTCAAAATATAAAACATTATTAAGATAAGCATAAATAGAACCCTTTTCATTATCAAATGAATATATAAAACCTTGTCTATATAAACCATGAAATGAAATGATGTTTCTTGCCATATCTGGCGAATCGCAACAATTGTTTAAATCTAAACCTAATCCATTACTAAGCACTAAGGAATAAACTCCAATCTTGGTGACAGGCGACGATCTTCCGTTTCCCATGATTAGATTTATCCTTCCTTGCTCCACATCCCTATTTCTTCTTAATCCCTGCAAATCAGAACATATGTGAAAACCACATCCTGTATCAAGAACCCAAGAAATAGCATGTGATGAATCATTAGATTTAATTGTGTAAATACCTGCGAAAGATGGCTTGATCTTCCCATCCTTGTTGGCTTGCAGATATTCCGGGCAGCTTCTCTTCTAATGCCCTATCTTGTGGTAGTGGTGGCACTCTGCCTCCTTAGGGTTAGAGTTGGACTTAGCAGAACCAACTTTGGTTCCACTAGAATAGGTACCATCTTGGGACTTTCCCTTGTGGTGAATCTTTGAAGGAGCCTTCCTCTTCTTGCCCTTTCCTTGACCTATTGCCAAGACAGGCGCAACAGTGGGAGTGGGAGTTGGGGCAACAGACTTATCCTTGAGATTGCTCTCAGCAGTCCTTAGCAAGCCTTGAAGCTTGCTCAAGCTGACCTCTTCCTTATTCATGTGGTAGGTCATGCGGAACTGGTTGTAGCAGGAAAGGCATGGAGTGAAGGATGATGTCAATTGCTAGCTCTTCATCGAAGTTTACATTTAACTTCAGCAGGCGATCAACATATCTCTGCATCTTTTGCAGATGAGTGGTAAGGGACTCTCCATTACCCATTTTGGCAGTGATCATCGAAGTGATGATCTCATACCTTTCTTTCCTCGCACTTTGGTGGTACCAGTCCAGCAAGTCTTGATGCATTTCATAGGGATACATGTCCTCATAGGACTTTTGTAGTTCTGCAGTCATGGTCGCTAGCATGATGCAATGGACTTTCGTGGCATCACGCTCATGGGCCTCAAAGGCAGCGATTTCTTCAGCAGTGGCAATATTGAGGTTGATTTCCTTCAGCTTCTCATCAAGGACATACTCTTTGTCCTCGTAGCGAGTGAACATTCAGATGTTGCGGATCCAATCATTGAAATTGGACCCGTCAAAGATCACTCTCCCACACAAGTTCATGAGTGAGAATGAGCCGGAGGAGTTCGAGCCCGAAGCATTGTTGACGTTCGACATCTGAAATAGAAAAAGACAAAGTTTGATTAGAAATGAATCCCCAATTAAACACCCAAATGAGAAATTAGGGCTAGGATCCAACAACATTATTTACAAATTAGAAGAGGGATGCCGTAATCTAACATGCATATAATTTGAAGGTAAGTGAATGACGATTCACTAATTCTCCACCACGAAAAACGAAAAGAGATTAAGTTTTAAATGTATTGAAAACTCCTAGATTCCTTTGAGATTCATTGAACTTTTCAATGGCATGTTTAAATCTCGATGTGCCCCTCTAGTTTGTGACTGGGATGCCGAGGATCACAAAGCGGGTGTGAATAACCATGCAAATCTATATGGTGCCCTCATTGTTACAGTCACCTATTCGATGTGTCGGTTAGCCACACACGCTCCATCGAACTATGACAAACAATGAGTCACCCTTTGCCACCTATGCTTAGAGTCTAATTAGTGTGCCAGTTAACCACACGCGCTCCACTAACGTCTTAGCATGGGTGCAAAGTGTAATTTCATGGAATTGCACCAATTCACTTTCCCTAAAGTAACTAAGATTGGGAATTGTTGTAGAAAAACATTTAGTTACTTTCATAATTCATTATACTTTTAATGAGGAAGGGTTTGCCCTATCCGACCCGTTCGGCTAACGACCATTCACCAATAAAGGAAGTGGTGGGTGAGAGTGGATACCCATTAAACGGCCATTTTATAGGCCATAACCTTATACCCCCTTATAGATTGGCTTCGTGAATGAGGCCTACTAACGATAAGACTAGCATTTTAAGTTATATATATATATATATATATATATATATATATATATATATATATATATATATATATATATATATAATATTAATCTTGTAATATTATAATAGTATAGGGTGCATTTTAAACATTTTAAAACACTAGGGTTTTAATTTCAATTTAAAATTTCCGAATTTTAAACCTTTTAATTTAAAATTTTAAATATTAAAACTCTCTTGATTTAATAATTATCCTTGAAATAAACAATTTATTTTAATTATCAAATCTTAAAGGATTATCTTTTAAATTAAACAATTAATTTATCCTAATCCCTTAAATCCCCCTAAAATCGAAAATATGGGATGGGATAATTCAAAATCTTTAATTACCATATTTTAAACAATTAAAAAGATAAGTACAAGATAAGGGATTATCCTAATCCCTAAAATTTAGGATCTTATCTTGGGGAGGTGGCTAAAATCGAAACCCTAGGGTTTGCAAACCCTAGATTTCGAAATCTTGGGGACTAAGCAAAGGGTTTGAAAAACCCTTATCAATTTTCGAAATTTAGGGTTCAAGAACCCTAGTTTCGAAATCTTGCCTACTAGGGTTTGTTGACCATAAACCCTAAGTCTCCAATTCATACTTTTGTATAAACTAATTGAAAGCATTGAAACCAAAGGCTCTGATACCACTGATGGGTTTTACACAAACAATCCTATGTGTGCATGCAACCCTAATTTCAGATCTATGTTTTGCTATTAGATATACAACATTATTAACACATTAAGAACCCTAGCATGCTCCTAGTAATTTCGAAATTTACAAAGGAGAAAGGTTTACATACCTCTTGTTGTTATATTGTAATAACAACTCAAATCTTGAATCTTCTTGTCTTGAAAGCAAGTACCACAGGTGTAGTACCTCTAATGGCTCACAAACACCAAGAGCAAATGGAGAGGCAAGAGAGAGAGGGGAGAGGTAGAAAATCGGCTTTAGGAACTTCTAGGATCAAGTGGTCGAATTTCCTAGGCCAGAGGGTCTTTATATAGCTGTAGGGATTAGGGTTTCAGTCCTTATCCTTATCTGGTTGCTTAGCCACCAAGCAGCCCAAGGATAATTCTAGAAGCCCTATCCTTGGATGAATTCTAGGGCCTTATCCCCTTGAATTCGTCCACCTTATCCATAGGGCATCCTTTGCCCTACTTTCCAACTATCACATAATTGCATTTCAGTCCCCCTAGTTTAGTTAATTTCTTTTCATCACAAAATTAATTCTTAATTAATTCTTGAACAATATTAACTAAACAAATATGATTTATCTTTTAATATATTATTCTTGTAATATATTAATAAGCCATAATAACCTCTTTCTCTATTATTTCTCCAATCAAGTTGCTTTGGTGAAGGCAACCCAAATGAACCATGCACGACCGAGTCAAGTACTTACCAAATATGGTTACGGGCTTAGACACTAATCCAACATGAATAACCATGCAAATTAACTTGGTACACTTAATGTTACAACCACCTAATCAATGTGCCGGTTAACCACACACGCTCCATTGATCTATGACTAACATCAAGCTACCCTTTGTCACACATTTTCAGTCCCAGATTAGTGTGTCGGTTAACCACACACGCTCCACTAACGACTTAACAAGGTGCAAAGTTTAATTTCATGGGTTAGCACCAAATACACATTTTCCTAAGTAACTAAGATTGGGAAATTTATAAGTGTTTAGTTACTTAGTATTTATCATTATACTTTTAATGAAGGGAGAATTAATGTCCTGTCCTACCCGTTCGGCTAACGACCCTCCACCAGTCAAGGAAGCGGTGGGTGAGAGTGGACACCCATTAAACTCCCATTTTATAGGCAGTAACCTTATACCCCCCTTATAGACCGGCTTCGTGAATGGGGCCTACTAACGGTAAAACTGACTTACTCTTATACATATATATATATATATATATATATATATATATATATATATATATATATATATATTAAACCTATAATATTATAATAGTATAAGGGTTGAATTTTAAACTATAAAAATTCTAGGGGTTGGAATTAAAGTATACATGGGGGGGGGTAACTTTACAAATTCCAAAACATAAGGGAAAGTTTTGAACAATTCAAAAACTTTTGGTTTCCATGACTTATGAGTTTAATATGGTTTTTATGGAAGACTTTTCAAGTTCCATAACTTGAGGACAAGTTATGGAAGACATAAAAACTATTTTATGATGACATTTAAAAGCAAGACCTTTAATTTTTCCATAACCTATGAACTTTAATGAAACTTTTAAAAGAAAAAAACTCTTCATTTTCCATAACTTGAGGACAAGTTATGGAGTTCATAAAAACCATTAAGATCAATTATTCCAATTAACACAATAATCAAATAATTTTTCTATGATCTAGATCAAACTCATAAGTAAAGAGAATTCATATCAACAATTTTCAAGAACTTAGCTAAACATATAAACTAATACAAATCTTGAAACTTTGACAATTATCTTGTTTTTGGATGAGGATAATCATTACCAAAGCATCGAAATCAAATTTTATGAACAAAAACATTTTGTGGTAATGATCCTAATCCAAAACAGGCCAAACAACTCGAAAAACTGCATCCAGGACAGCCAACTTGTCGAGTGCATGAGCTGACTCGTCAAGTTGGTCAAATCTATGAGTGGACTCGGCGAGTCACTCATCCAACTCGGCGAGTCCAGGGCGAAAATCATGCAACTCGGCGAGTTCAGCAGTGAACTCGACACGTTCAGATGTCATAGCGCAGAAAATTCGATTTTTTCACTTTTGAAAACCATTAAAGCATCAAGTATAATAGAAAACAGCCCATGGCTCTGATACCACTGTTGGGTTTTGTATACTACAACATCCTATGGTGCACATACAACCCTAAATGCCTAGGATCTATGTTTTCTCTAATTATACATGTAATGGTGTTTCCAAAGCATTAAGCCTATTACTAGCATTGAATTGACATAAATATTATGAAATACTAGTTAGGATGACATAACTCTTATGTAGCTTGAAACCTTCTTGTATTTGGCCTTAAGAGCTTAGCACCAACAGTATGAATGCCTCAAATGGCTCACAACTCACCTAGGACAAAGGTGGCTCTTGAGAGAGAATCTCCATGCACCAAAAACACCTCTAAGAACTCCAAGAACTACAAGTGGGCATTTTTAGGCTATGGAGTATGTATTTATATGTAGGATTTCAAGGGTCATGGGTATAACCCAAATCCATACCCATGGGTTCTATGATCCATGGTTCATGTGACCCAACTCTTTATGTGTCCATACATAAAATTGGTCCAACATGGATCATAAGCCCAACACATATAAATATAACTA